GTGTGCCTTGGCAGCCTCACACACACACACACACACACAGGAAATGGCTGGCAAAGCTATTCAACCACCCACTGAAGCGTCAGGCACTTCACACCCTTGTACTAATGCACCGGGGCGAAAATAAAAAAATCAGTCTGTGAAGTAGATTGAAAGGAACAATAAAGGAAATATAAATGACTTTTGAATGTCGTGAAGTATCAGAAAAGGTAAAAAAAAAGTACTTAAAAGGTGAAAAAAACTACTTTATAAAGTGTTGCAGAATGACCAATATTCAACTCAATACCAGACATAAGAGTTGATCATTGACTTCCACTTGATTATATGAAATTAATTCTGAATTGCCACACACTGATGATGAGTACTGTGATATTCACTGTTGGAATGAGCCTCGCTCAGTCTCAGCTAAGACACACGAGCTGTTGTCCTTTCCTGAGGCTTTGTGCTGCTTTTCTTTTTGCAGGCGAACAATGTGACATTTCCCCTCTGCCCAGTTTCTCCCCGTTTTTTACAGCAGGCTATAACAGTGAAATGTGGGGACTGTTAGGGGTCTTTCTCCAGCACCGCTGAAGTGCCCTCTCGACTAAATCACCAACTGGAAAACGGCAGTGATGGGACCAGAAGTTAGTGTGTAATACTCTACTTCCCTGCTTCTCAACACCTTATATGTGCGTGGAGCCGTGTGTTAAGGCAAATACGTGCAGCTTCCCATTATACACCTGTGCCTTGGCCTCAGATCAGGCTCATAAAACCCCAATTGGCCTCAGGGTCAGACATGCCAAAACTTCCCTGGCTCTGCTTCTTTTTTTTTTCAACCCCACCCTTTGTTTAAGTATTACCACCTATTGTGTTCTAGTCAGAAACATCCAGAGAAATGTAAGCCTCATATGAAAGATCATTATTTTACTTAGTACTCGTACAGTAAAAATGTAAATAAGGTTATTTGCAATCTAAATTCATTAACAACGTCTAAGACATCTCACTTTCTGCAATAAAACTAATCTAACATTAGACATCATGCTTTATATACCAACTACTGTATGTGCAATATGCAATATGTGCAATATGAGCAATATATATATATATATATATATGCTGTAATAACTGTGCAATATATACCTGTCTGCTATATATTCAGAACTGTTACAGGATGTGTATTTTGTAAATTGTCAAATTTTTTGTATTTTCTTTTTAATCTTTAATATGTGTTTTATGCATGCTTCTTAGTTAACATTAATCTGTCTTTGGCTCTTTTCTGCTGTAACAAATGTACATTTCCCCTCTGTGGGACTAAAGGTATTCTGATTCTGATTACAGCGGGATTACCCTCTCCTCTGCAGAGACATACTTGTGGGAGGACACATGCACAAATACTTGACCCTGTGCAGACATGCCATACATGCCATCCCTCATCTTTTCATAATGAAGTGGCCACTTTGGTCCCCATAGCCCCACTGATGGGTGACTCTTTATGTCTGAGAGAGACTGGGAGTAGTTGTAGCTGGAGCCCTAAGTGACAGAAATCTCTCTGTCAGAAAGAAACAAAGCTATGAGCTGTTAGTAAGTTGGAAAAGCTGCTTACTCCACCAGGGGCCAAGAAAACAGGCAAATCCAAACAGTGGAGATGTCCATTTTTGACCGCTGTTCTGACATAATACACTCCTAATGTGCAGGGAAAGCCTTCCTGGATCCTCTCCATGTATCCTACTCATAAATCTCCCAAATTCCCATCCAGTTCAAGTTAAAAACTAATCTGTTCTGTGCTCCTTCAAAGCATTTCTGCATTATGAGTGTACAACCGTGACTTAGAGAAATGTTTCAGGGGCTTTGGGCCAGGGAGGGGNTGGTTCTGTTTTCTACGGCTTGGCGATCTTGGCCAAGCGACTGTTCTGGTAGTCTCGGCAAATACACAACTTTGACATTGGTGCATACAATGCTGACAGTCGTACTTGGAGTGTGACAGACGGATTTTAAAGTGTTTCCTCGACACCAAAAGCCACCGTGTCCCTTCACATTCCAGGGATGATGGATGGAGAGTTGCTTAGACAAACTCTTCAGGCGTGTTTGTGTCCTTGTGAAGACCGGGGCTAAACGTTCTGTTCGGGGACTACCAATAAAATATTCAGGGACAGATGTCTGAGCAGCTCTCTTGCGCTCAGAACCTTTGCAAAAAGGACACAATCTGTTTCTAAATTATTCATACAGTCAAATGCTTTGTCCAAGAAGTTCAAAGCTCTGTCAAACATCAGTATCCATCTGAGTTTGAACGGTGCTACTCAAAGCATTTTGACATCAATAACTTGTCATAACTGCTTAAAAGATTGTTAGTCTTACATTGAAAGTCACTATTTAGGATTTTGCGGTAAAACTGATAGATTTCCAAGACAAAGGAAGATTGCTAAACAACATAAAAAAAGGAGAGAGAGCTGCTTTGGGACTAATCTTAGTCTTAATAATCTTCATCTTTATCTGTAGCCTTTGTAAAACAAATAGAGTGGAGTGACGTAGGTTTAGCCGTTATTTCAGAATCTACAATATTTTGGGAGGCACTAGTGTGTGTGTGTGTGGGGGGTGGGGGGTTAGGGTTGCTTCTTCTTCACAGGACTCGTTGCAGATCATACCAACAAAGTATATTTTAATGATTATATACACAATGTGTTTAAGAAGGTTTTATGTAACTGAGGTAAAGTTAAGATGTTGTGATTTAAGTGCAAATTACATTGTTCATCATTTTCAGTTCTATAATCTATATCCTGGATGAACATATGTCTAGAAGCCTCTAAAAGTTGGTCCCACTTAGCATTAAAGGGTCAAAATCCACAAAAAGGTTTAAAACCGTTGCTTTAGTTGAACTTATTTACCCGTAGGTCAGCACAATATGAGGGACTCACCTGCAGAAGTTGTGGCTGCCCAGACCTCCCTCTCCATTGGGGTATTTGAGAGTGTTGTAAGGGTGCTGGAAAGTCTCATTCCAGAAGAGGCAGGGTTTACCACCATGCAGGCTGGTCTGATTCTGGAAGCCCCTGTAGTCCTCTCCGTTGGCAGTGTAGCACTCTGGAAAAAGAAGAATGAGATGGAGAAATTGAGAGGAATCACTTGTGTCTGCAATAAGGGCTTAGACATCTTTTAAGTTGCAAATCAAAAGCTTGACCAGATCTTTTGAACACAGAAAGTCAGCCACAAATATGACCTGCTTTATTGAGAATGTGGATTCAGTGAAAGACTCTCAAGCTATAACATTTGTTTAGACGACAACTTTGGAATAAATGTAATTTTTGCCAAGTCTCGGTTCATTTTGACTCTTGCCAAATGGGGTAAAGAAAGATCAGTCACTGTATTGTTTTAATTAATGTCATCGCAGGAGAAAAAATGGCCAACAGATATACAAGTAAAGCAAACATGGCTTGGACTTCTAGGAAATGTATGACTACCATATGGCCAAGCCATAAAGAGAGTGAGAAAAGGGAGAGCTGGTTTCAAAGCAAAACAATGGCTGGGGGAGAGCTTTTCTTCCCTGAAATTGGGAATTCAAATAAACATTGGCTGATGATGGGAGCGTGATCAGCCATTACTGTGCATCGCTCTCAGCCTTGAGGAGGGGTGGGGAGGCTCCCGTCAAGAGAGTTTTAACTGCTACAGTTGAATTCCTCTGTGATTGCATTACGATGGAAAATATTAATTTATTATGTTATGATTACTCAAACATAGACAGAGCAGGATTCTCCTTCAGTGTAAACAGCAGGGGATAAAAAAGACTATATGTATGACATTATGTTGCAAAGAGTAAATACTGACAATAGCCACCACCAGCATCACTTTGAAGTGTTCTTTTACAGTGTGTGCTTTGACACTTTTGAGTGTTGACTTATGAAGCGTAATACATAATACAATTATTTCAACTCATGCCTGTCAATGAAACTCAAGAAACAGAACAATAGTCGTTTGTGTGGCTCGTTTCCATGGGGTCTTGTTGCTATGTATGCAGTTAGCCAGTGACCGGCCCCTTTCATCAAGTGGAGCTGTCTAGGCTGAGTATGAGCTAATGCATCACAATATGACAGTCATTACATGCCATAGTGAGCCAGCCGTGCTCCAAGGCTCTTTCTCATTCTCTTCCAGTCCAAGGTTTCCCAACTTCCTTTCTCTTTCTCGTATCTTATCCTCTGTTCTTCCCTCTCAGCATTCACAACTCTTTTCTCCTCTGCTGCTTTTGCTTTCTTCTGTCATCCCCTTTCAACTTATATACTTTTTTTTCTTTGGGGGGGGGGATCTCTTTGCTTCACAGGCTTCTATCTCAACTTTTGAGCTTGCGTCTATCGTTAGATGGCAAGCTTAAGATGCCGTTTCACACGTCTAGAGGAGGAAGGCAGCATCAATTAAGACCTAAAGGAGAATTATTCTTTTAGGAGATCAAAAATCCCCCAAATGTGTTGATTGCAGATGTTAAAATATGTGTCTAATGTAGATAAGCAAGGGACCTACATTTGCTTCCCGTACTTTCTACCATGCTTTGATATATTAACAGCAGTTAGCTTGCACACAAACATGCATTTCAGTCTCTTGCATCCTCTACTATACTTCTCTTAATTTTAAAGTAAATCAAAGCCCCTGGCAGCCAAAGTAGCTTTTAATTAAAGTTGTTATTCAGTCAAGCTTGTTAGCCATCCATCGTCTGGCTGACAGGAGTTCAACGGTGGCAAGGAGATGCAGGGTGTCAGGTTCCTGCATTATGATGCCACTCTATTGTCTGTGAATGGCTCCCCTCTATATTAACAAATTAATACCACCAGATCGTAAATCCACTGGAGAGTGTCTGAGGCAGAACACGACATGCTCTTGCTCCCCTACACAAGGGAGCGATGAAGAGTCGTGGGGACACAAGTTATCGTGGGTCTGACACTCCAGACAACATGGTGTGTTTAATAATGCAAATTGTGCAATTGAAAAGGATGCACATGATCACCATGTAGCATGTTTATCCTGTAGAAGACTTTAGAGATAAGGTGGAGATCTGATATCAATGTTAATCTGTGTTGCCACTCCATGTTATAGGCTCCAGGCTCTACCTGACTCAACACTTTTGTAGAACTGCTTTACTAATAATTCTGACCACTGGTTGTTCAGAGAGAATTGCCACTACCGCTGAGGCGGTGTTATCTCTCAACCTATTTTTCCATCTTGAGCAATCATTTTAAAAGTGGGAACAATTCAATCAGTTTAAAAGACACACACATAATATTGACAAGAAAACAAATAACCAAACAGCAAAATAATACTTTTCAAAATAGTAAGATTTAGTAGTGGAGTAACTTGTAATTATGGTTTGTCATTGACCTTAAGCTACAATTGAGTTAAATGAAAATGAGTTATCCTGCATTTTATGATTTGTATAATATACACAGAACTTATTGGGAAGACAGGAATCAAATGATTAATTTTCATTGAATTCACATTTCTCCGGATGCTGGCAGTGACGGCAAACAGAAAAAAAGAAAAGGAACCACTGCTATTGAGAGTTTGACAGCAGTACAAGCACAATCATGAGTCACTGCTCCCCAAAAGCAATCATGACTGTTACTGCCCAAGTCACAGAGGATAACATCAGGTAGCGACGGGGCAACAGACTGCATCCCAAATGAGCTCACGTCCTTCAAATATCTTCTCCCCGAAAAGAGGGTATTAAAATGACTGAACTTGGCCGCACGAAGCGCTGCTCAACACACTGTGTCGAAAAGAAAGATCCAAATGACTTTGTAAATGTCTCCTTTCCTCCTTCAGGAGACTTTACTCTAGAGTTTCACGATGAAGCAGAGCTCGTCTGCACATGGTCCCTTTGGAACGAGCTGCTGCTGGCAATCATCCCGCCCTGCTGAGGTCAACTAAGCTTTCCAAGACAAGATGGTAAATATGGCAGCGTTTTGCCCCCTGGAGGAATATGGGGAAGGGGGATTGTTCCAGGTGGTTTCAAGACACCATTTGCTTGTGGTGGGAAAGGGAAGTAGCGGATCTGCAAGGCCTCAGAGATAAGTGAGGCTACGTTAGAGATGAACGGTCCATTTAAGAGCCTTGAGGATGGCCACACATCTATATAGCTAAAGAAAGAATATGGTGGATATGAGCACTTTATCCTTGTCCTGGAGGGAGTTAAGAGCTCATCTGCTGATTGGATCATCACCACTCCATGCCCCCTCCCCTACAAACACGGCCAGCCCTCAATCTGACACCCCCTTTCCATGTCACCAAGCAACTGTTGTGCTCTCGTCACATGGGCCTGGGCTTTCTTGTGGTTTCATCATAGGCCGTGATGGGAAACAGAACCACCACCGCATGAAAGACAGAGAGAAGGGGGGGGGGGGGGGGGGGGGAGAAAAAACCTCCTATAAAATACATGCAGATCTACAAATAGAAAAAATCCGGGAAAGGGAAGAGAAGGACTCGCCCTTCACCAAGCCCTGCCCTCACAGAATACTGCACCACCCCGGCGACAAGAGGGGGAAAAAGGAAACAGCAGAGGACCGCTGAGAGAGAGCTAATCGCCCTGTTATTATATTGGTTGGGATTTGAGGCTAATGACTTCCACATTGCGACTTCAAATGCACTTGATGTTTCGAAAAAAGTGTGGGGGGGGGGGGAGAGAGAGAGAAAAGAGCATTGGTCATGTGATCTGAAAAACACAAACAAACAAGCATACAAACAAATGGTTTCTCTGAGACGCGTTGCCAGGTCGCACAAGAGCACTTATTTGTTGTGTTTGCTACGAGGGATGAAAAGCAGCGATAATTAAAGACGACTGCTTCCTCACTGAGGGCTGACATAAAGAGCTTCCTTCCATCTTTATTATATGTTTCGAAACTTCAGGCACAGCATAACAGGCTTAGTGGATGAGCAATATTTCCAGAATAAGTCTACGATAGAAACATGCATGTACACTTTTATGCACAAAAACATCATCATTTGTGCACACGCTTACAACACCCAAAGCTGCTCAGGTTTAGAGAGCTTTCAAAGACGACAGAAACGTCAGATTATTAATGCACAACCTGCCAAAAAATGTTTCCCCTCCACTCTGTCCTGGTAACCATTAATGTTGTGAGGCTCATTAATGTCAGTGTACTAAGCACAGAGGCCAGGGCCAGGCCAAACCAGGCCAGATGTAGCAGGTTACAGATTACTTCTATGGTGGGGACACAGCTGGCTGCAACACAAGTCTGGTTCCCCTTTTCGCCAGCAGCATCCATTTCCACATCAAAACCACATCAGACTTCAGAGGATCGCGGGAAGACTGCTTCACAGGAAGACTGCTTATCCAGGTTTCACAGATAGTCACAGATTCAGTAAGGCTCTTTTAATGAATTTGGAAGTGGCTGAGAAGAAGTCACCAATGTCTCGGGGGTGGGCTTGGCAGTTAATGGACCACATCTCGTCTCTGTGCTTTAAAAGTGCCCTCTTGGAAGAGGGTGAATGAAAGTGCAAAAAATTAACCTTGTAAGTGTTGAGAACAGATGCCTCTAACTCTGCAGACAATGATTTCTCAATGGGATTTTACAATCCTTCTTTTTGTTTCATGCTTTTGTCATGGGTTACAGCCCCAGATAAACCAGGCCGTAAACCAGGAGCTCATTCATCCCGAAATAGCCTTCACCATTCTTCCTTTGCAAAAAACCCTCCACTGCACCACCTCCTGAGTTCACTACCACAGTAGCCACAGACCCACAAGATGCCCTGCCAAGGTTTCTGGGTAGCACCTATAAAATATGGCCCCATCTCGTTCTAGTGCGGCCCCTATTATTTAGCTCCGTAGTGGAAAGAGTCTAATCGGCAGGAGCCCGTGGTGGGCTAAAAGCGGTGCCAAAAAACCCGTCTGTTTGAAGTTGCTTGTCACAAAATGGAAAGCATAAAAGGTTGTTTTGCCCACAAGCAGGCCCTATATTTAAATACCAGAGGAAAAATCAATCAACAAATAATATACCAAGGCAGATAAGCCCTCCACCTATGGAGGATATCCCGTAGTTGCCAGGATGATCTCTGACAGAGCGCAGCACAGATGGACCAAGAGTAGTTTTGGCTCTGTGAATGGCCCAGAATGAAACAAGGAGGGACAATTTTGAGTTTTGCTTGGCAGACGTTCAGGGAGTGACTGATGGGCTGCAGACTCTGACAATGACGTAAAGGACATTCAGGGACTTGCTGAAACCCTAGGGAAAAAAGCTGCTGGCACAATGTGGACATCAGAGACATGTCAGCCAACCTGACATGAGGGCGGACGAGGTGCCACGCTCAATTACCTCCCTCTGGCAGCTCCTCACCGTTTCCTCGAGTCATAATCCACATCTGCCATATATTTCCAAACATGATTAAAAGCTTCTTCACCTCTAACGCTGTCCTTGTTTCTGTAGTTTCTCACACCCAATCACAAGTCTCCCTACACAGTAAGTATAGGCAAGGGTTACAGGGTTGAACAAACACAAGGGGAAATCCCCTGCATACTCAACACATGCCACTGAACCCGCTGTAAACCAACTCGTACACGAGAGTAACAAGACGTGTGCATCCAGGAGAAAGCATCATTGAAAGAAGGGGGGGGAGATAGGGAAGCCAAGACGCGCTAAGGTTGTTCAATTAAGGGCTTTCAAAAGGTGCACAATTAGTGTGTCTGGGATCGATCCATCCTAAATAAAGTCAAACTGCAAATTAGTGTGGAGCATTGACATTGAATAACGGGTTGTGAAAGACGAAAAGCAGTGAGAGCACAATGAATCAGAAAAAGCAAGACAAGAAGAAAACAGAGTGAGTCAGGGTGGGACAAAGACTGTTTTTATGATCCCTCAGATTGTTAACCCAGGCTCTAATTGGCTCCCTCTTGTGTATAGCACAAATAAGTGAGCGCTGAGTTTATTTCACATTTCTCCGTGTTATAGACACGGCTGACAAAGACCAGGCTTGTAAAATGACCAGCGAACACAGAGTTTACATCTCCAGCGTCTGAGTTTGAAGGTACACCTCTCATTCCAGAGGAGCTCTGTGGCACAGATGCATGCTGGGGGTTTTTACCAGCAAACACACAACCGAAGCCGAAGGGAGAACAACACATGTCTTACTAATGCGTGTCTGTCCTCTGTGAGGAAAATAACACAAGACCATATGGGTTCCTCGTCGCACGCCGCCTTTGATAACAAGAGGATCTACGGCTTGTGATGCAAGTCATGATGGCTTACTGTTGCTAATGGCCGTGCGTTTCTCGCATGGGGGTGTTTTAAGCTTGTTCTCTTCTTCTTTGTTTTGCTTGTAAATGGATGGTAAAATGATCTCTCAGTCAACTTGCACTGTCAGATGCCACGATAAACATATGCAGTGACAAAACAGGCATTAAACTGCCCTCCTACCCACATCATTCCTGCTCTTTGTTCCCTCCTCCTCCCTCCTCATACCCGTATCCCTCCCCCCAGATGCACTTACAGTAAGAATGAAAGGGAGCAATTTTCATCAGTGAAGCAGCCGCGGTATTTTCAGATGGATCTGATGTGGAGGGAACGGAGGACACACACACTCGCACACACACATCAAAATGCACACAGGCTCCTTTGTTCACTTGGTGGTAGGGCCAGTGTCATTGTGGTGATGCCATTCTCACCCACTCATCACTGTACTGTAGACATCACCCACTGAGTGAGTGTATGTGCATGTTTTTGTTTGAGTGCACATGTCCGTCAATTCACCTCTCCTCACAATTTGACAGCCTCTCCAAGGCAGTAATCAATTTGCGGCAATATAATGTAAGCTGTGCGGCCAGTATGGCTGCGGCCGGCCCTGATGGACAATTACCATGTTTGACGTTGCTCCAATGATAACAGTTGGATTTGTACGCAGTGATGGAACTCATATCCATATGTAGGCCCTTTGCCCCATCTGTTAAGCCACTTTGAGTAATAAAACGAAGGCCAGATAGCACCTCAGAGAAAGATGAACCATGAAAGAAAAGGGGTTGTTGCTGAACACACCTGTTTCCCATCTTCCTGTTTGTGCTCAGGTTAGCTGCTATCTGAGGAATGTCAATTATATGTGGTTTGGGCTGAAGCTCTGTCAGTGCTGTTGCAGGGGATAGAGTGCAACTATTACACACACACACACACACACACACACACACACACACACACACACACACACACACACACACACACACACACACACACACCCACCCCTGAGCTTACCTGTGTTCAAAGCCAAGATAAAAGCTAACGTTTACATCCAGCCACCTGCACACAACCAGCAGCCGCTGCCGAACCGCAGCCCCTCCTCCATTTCCTTTCCTTCTGACACACACAGCAGTCATCCGTCTTGATCGGCCTCCCGGGTCTCTAATTAGGCTCCGGGTGGGTGACACCCTCTGGAATGTTTATTGTAACATTGCTCAGCCTTTATCTATTTTAGAAGTGAGAGAGAAATAAAAGAAGAAATAATAAAAAAAAACAGACTGCTAAGAAGCAGAGCGAAGAAGAGAGGTGGATAGAACAAGATCACAAACAATACTATAATAGTGGCAATGCTGAGAAAATGTAGAAAAAGAATGATAAAAATGTGTATTGATCATGATTAAATAATTTAGATTTTAATAATGTATTTTAGCTACAACACTAAGAAGCTATAGGCCTTCATCCAATACAAAAACTACTATAAAACGTGGCCCATCACACTTCTGGAAGTCTACTACCGAGTTCTGACTCTTCACTTTCTAACAAAACGTTTTTCTTTTTCTGATTTACCCTTTAACGCCAACAAAAGATAAGGACATTAAAGCCATTGACATCAATGTCATCATTCCTACAATTTGGAATATGTAAGCATTAACTCATCACAGACCAGGACAAGAGCCAGAAGAGTGCCGGCCAGCAATGCCGCACTTCCCGTCAGGAAACAATGTTCTCGTCCACTGCGGTGGTTTGTTGGAATTACCCTGACATACTGTTCTGGGTTGACAATGACAGCACATTTGACTTATCTACGGTACTCATGGCGCACAGAAGACAAAGACAATGGTACCAAAGTTCAAATTAGGCTCGTAAATAACAACTTTTTCCTATTGGGCTGGGTGACAGATCTTAAATCTCTACTTGGGAATAGTTGGCTCTGGAAAATGTTGCGTAAACATTGTTTTGCTGAAACAGAACAAATCGAATTATATGAATGTTTTCTTCATATTTAGAAGTGCTGTGTTTTCTTTCGAGATTTGTCTGAGCCTTGTCTTTAAAGAGTTGTAGAAAGTGGTCACCACACTGAATAAACTTCAATCAGTGTGCTCTTTTTCCGCGTAAACAACTCTAGGTTTTTGTTCTAGCTTTGTTGGGTATATTGAGGCCAGACTTGTTTTTACACTAAACCTCTTTTAGTCCCCCTCATGTCAATCTTGACAACATCGTAAACGGGCGTCTTTTTTGTTTCATTCATTCAGGGAATGTGAGAACCACAATCCTCCATATCCAAAGTGTAAACTGCTGATGAGAAGCACACTGTGCGGATGCAAACATTGTTTACAGGAGAGGAACAAAAAAGGAGATGAAAAGCGTCTTGACGTCATGTTTCATTGCAGCAGCTAAACATTTGTGGCCAAAGTGAAAACAGAAAAACTGTCCCATGTGTCACTTATCTCCAGGGACACAGCAAGCGGAGCAACAGGGCCACAGAAGGCAGAAACAAATGTATGTTTGCAGGTTTATGGTTTCAAAGCGGTGAACAATGTGATCCCCTGCACAGTCGCTTCTAATACACCATGGTGTGCTGATGTTTGGCAGGTCGCCCAACACATCTCAGTTCAAATGATGACATAAAACTAGTCAGGAGAAACAGTGTCCTCCACGCAGTCTCCGATTCAGAAAGCATGACAAATCCTTCACCACATATCATACTGAAAGTGAATGAAAAGTAAGTTGGGAGTTTTGAGTTCACTTCCAGAGGACAGACATTACACAGGAGCAGCAGCAAGAGATTACCCCACACTGCATTTGAATTGCAAAAATGAGTTATATTCTTGGCTTATCAGTGAAATGCATATCTTATATTGCAAAAACAAAATAGTGAGGTACAATCTTAAGTCTAATATGATGGTTACAACCTTTTCCCCCCAAAACTACAGTTTAAATTGCCTTATATATATATACAGATTCAGCTTGCAGACGTGCACACAAGGGATTTGGCTGCAGAGATGAACAGGGCACATTGCCACAGGCTTGCAGTGAGCTAACATGATGGGTGCTCCAACACTGTTATAAGTCTTGGCAGTACCTTTCCCTCAGCACCTAGGAAATATGGTTATGGACTTTATCCAATATTTTTGGACAACAGTAAAATGCAGTATTGATCACACTAAAGGTTAAGGCCATTGCGTTATAGCTACAATGTACTGTACATGGAAGTAACAGGGTGAAATAAAAAATGTCTGTTCATCAATGATGACTTCGTAATGTCTTCACATTTCTTGTGAGTGGCATCCAACAGTCCAATATCCAAAGATATTCAATTTAAAATTATATAGAGAAAAACAGAGAAAAAAATTCAAATACTTATATTTGAGAAACTGGAACCTGTGAATGTTTGCTGTTTAGTTATTTTAAAATGATTCTAACAACTCATTGTTTCAGCTCTATAAATTACAAATGTAAAGGTTAAAAACCTAAAGTTGACTGTGAGCGAAGAAAAATGCATTTTATATTCCTCTGTTGTACTTTCCTTTATATGAACATCTAGAGCACGTAGTGATGTATGTACTGTATAGCACATTGATGAAAGTTTTTCATCGTCTTGCATAAGATCTGTTGAAACCACTAACCAGCGACTGTCTAACAGTTCAGAAGCCAGTCTGAATGACCCGACTGAAACAAAGTGAAACTCCTCTTCCCTTTCAAATAATTATGAAGAACAAGAAATTAACCTGATGACGCCGTAGGTGCTGTATCTTCTCCATTAGCGCAGGGCTGAGCCGGGATGGGGATATGCATACTTATTAGATCTTCAACCTTGTGGGTTCGGACGTGCTAAGGAAGAGGGAACAAATGATGAGTCACAGCGATAAGAATTCATAATAAGGCTCAGAGACAAAAATAAAGGACCTCCAATGCCCCTGCGATATGAATCACACATTCACAAGCAGGTATACGTAAAGGCAAACACACAGAGATACCAAATGCAGTGGCTCAGTCAGTAGGGGCTTGGACTGTGAGCGGTAGGCTTGCCGGTTCAAGTCCCCGAACAGACCTGCATTTGGAGTGTGGACTTCTACTTGGAGAGGTCCCAGTTCACCTCCTGCCCTGCCTTGGTGCCCTTGAGCAAGGCTCCGGACATTCCCCTTCCCCCCTTACTCCCATTGCTCCCCGGGCGCTGTAAATGGTAAATGGTAAATGGTAAATGGACTGTACTTATATAGCGCTTTATCCAGTCTTTAAGACCCCTCAAAGCGCTTTACATACTACATGTCATTCACCCATTCACACCCATTCAAACAGAGCAGTGTACCTTACTCTAGGACCTAACATTCACACACATTCACACACCGTTGGCCATGCCATCGGGAGCAACTCAGGGTTAAGTATCTTGCCCAAGGATACATCGACATGTTGACTGCATGGGCTGGGATCGAACCCACAACCTTCTGGTTGAAAGACGACCACACTCCCTCACAGCCACAGTCGCCCCAATAGCTGTACAATAGCTGCCCACTGCTCCTAGTACTAGACTCCTGGTACTAGGATGGGTTAAATGCAGAGAACACATTTCACTGTTTGCTGTGTGCTCTGCATGTGTGACCATTAAAGAGGGGTTCATCCCTCCCAATATTATTCTTCTTCTTCAAGTGTTCCTAGACAGTAAACAATACCGACCAAAGAATGTGGGCTAACAAGATACAAAACTGAGGGGAGAAGTCTTTAAAGTGGGCAAATGTCTTCAAACTATTGTGAGTTTGCGATCTAAAGCATTCATATTAAAATAGATATAAACTGAGTAGACAAAAACTGAGCTAGCACAAGATTAATGATGTTGAAAAGGCACGGCAAGTTGCAATCAGTGCTCATAGTGATGTTCTTAATCAAGGCACTAATGTCAGTAAATATAAAACATAAGACGGAGGCAAGTCCGGGCTAGTGTGAGCTGATATGGCTTCATTTGAAAGGTGTCTGTGTACTACTGACAGGGTTCCAGACTACACACACACACACACACACACACACACACATATCCTAAAATGAAACTCAGAGCAGAGATTTAATTCCCACTTTATCAAATCTGTGCATCAGACGAGTTCCACAGTACATGATAAGGAAGACGAAAAGGGGGAAAACACAAACCAAGCATGGAGGAACATGTGCCTTTTGAAGTTGTCTTTCTTCTTGGAACTAGCGTTGGCGTAACACGGCTGGTTAAGCAGATCATTAAGCGTAATGGTTGGGAAGGATTGCAGAGCTTTATCTCTGATGGCAAGAACAAAGTTGTGGATGATCTGGGGGGATTCTGGGGCTGGATTTAATGGGAATTCCCCTGCCTGCTGGGACAGTTTACTTGTGCTAACAGACAGGTGCTATCATAAATCTAGAGTCAAGGCATTACTCACTCGGCTTTACATACTGAGACTCAAGGTAAATGGGGATAAAGTTATCCTTTGAAAGATTATACCTCACGATTAAAGGTGCTTTTTGAATAGACGCCATGTTAATGTCTGCTAGTGACATAGGACTATAAAGAGCACAGCTCAGCTCCAAGGTGATATTTCTTGTAATCTAAAGGAACAAATAATTAGACCCTCCAGAAAAACGCAGGCAAAAATCCTTGATTATGCGGGCTAAATTCCTTGATTGTGCGATTAAACATGCAGGGTTTTTATGTGATTTTATGCGGTGAAATTGCGGGAAGTTGCGAAATATGCGGAAAGTTGCAAAATATGCGGGGAAAAAGAATAACAATTTTTTTAAATATTGGTGTGTCTTATTTATTTTCTCTCACACACAACCTGCCACTAACGTTAAACCCCTTTACTATTCAATTAAACACATTCAAATGTTTATTTATTGTAAAAGCAAATTGGGCTATTTTAATTGCGATCCTGCGGTTGCGAGTAAAGAGTAACCTTCAGTCAAGAAAATATTACCTCGTGCAGTAAGAGGAATTGGTCCTTTCCGTCGTATGGACGTGAAATGATGTGGTCGTCTACATCTGCATCGTCTCGTTTTGTCTGGGTCGTACGGGTTAGGTGGTGAATGTCTACAACGAGCAGAATTTGGTACGGGTTTGTGTCCTTCGGTAATTTCTCGTTAGTTAGTCAGCCGTGACACCTTTGCCACCCACCCCAGGAAGACCTCCCGGTAACGGTCCCTCCACCTCTAGTGAGACGCGCTCGTTATCATTTAAGAACGTCCGAGCACGCTTGAAGACAAAATATGTGTGCTGACCACCTTCGCTAAAGCTACTAAACCTCGCTAAATCTTACGTTTCGTCACCTCCCCGGGACTGTTTTCTTCTCTTCAATCTACCTTTTTATTTATTTCTTACCACTCGGAAAATAAGCGCGAGTTCCGCCCTTATAAAATTTCGAGTCATGAGTAGGAAACTCTATTAAAATCGCCCCACTACTTCAGGAGTCTAGTTTGTGTAAGGGGAGACTTAAAGAGTTGACTCTTCCTTATGTCAATGCGAAAGTTTTCGACAAAATACGTGCCCTAGTTCACAAGAGTACTTATTCACACATGTAGTACCGTGAAGAAAAGATGCCGTACGAATTCTACTTTTACACGCCCGTCACCGAGTTCAGACATCCCCTGAACGAGAACCTTGGCTCCCAGCACCAACTGCAGGACGTAGCCTGGTTTTTTTTGTCTACCGCTCACTCGACCATCGGACGCTCTCGCACGGTCAAGTGGAGGTTCCGCGTGACGGCTCCAACGGGAACTCGTGCCGTGGATTGAAGCTTGAACGAGGGAACCGCGGCCGCGACTGGACCGTCGGAGAGACGAGACGGGTCGAGTAGGGATAGACGTACACCAACACCCACACACACGTACATATAGATAGACCACACATTACGACACATTTGTGTTGTCTCACCCCTTTCTGTAAAGGGACATTCGTTCCCTAAATGTATTTCATATAGAAGAAGAAGAAGAAGAAGAAGAAGAAAGAAGAAGAAGAAGAGAAGGAGTTGTTCTATGTAAATAAAAGTGTCAATGGAAACTGTTCCCTACGTTGAAAAAACAAACGGACAACAGTTAGTAATTCCCCCCGCACACACCCTCTTTTTGAGGGAGAGCTACTTGAACCCCTAAAATCAGAAACGTCTGGTAAATGTACGTGTGTTTTGGAATATCTATGGGTGATTGGGGTTTTTGTGTTATCCCGGGAAAATGTAAAAACAACTTCTAGGGTATAGTCCCCTTCTTTTTTTGTGTAATAAATCTGGGAGGTCTTTTTGCGCTAGACGACTAGCGTCTTAAATGGCGTTTAACTGCGTCTAAAAATTTTCCCGGGCGTATAAATTAGTTTTCCGGCGTATTAGGGGCGTAAAAGGTGTGTGTGTTCAACTCTTTTTTTTTTCAATTGACAGATCTGCACTGCAGTAGTCGAGCGCGTAGTGTCTTACGTTTGTTGTGATATCCTCACTTGCACACTCTCGAGGTGTGCTATCTCTTTGTGGTTCTACTTTTTTTAGATAGGTAGAATAAGGTCAGCACTCCCGGCGCAACTGGCAATGGCTTGCTTGTAAAGATGATTTCCTGCCCGTTTTTCACCCCCCTTTGATAAGACGTGGGTCACGTGACACACAACCTCGTATTCTCTTTTAGCTGCCACTGCTGGGTGAAACTAAGTAAGTTTGTAAGCTTTTACGAAAGACGACGACGCCTGTTCTTTCGGTTTGTTGAATGCAGGGGGCCAAGTTGGCTCCGTAGGTGGAGGTTCTGGGAAAGCTTCCCAATGTTTTTTTGCTTCACTCATCGGATGTTCTACCTCGACCAGTCTATGTGCTTGCGTCATTTACTCTTTTGTCTTACTCCCCGCCTCTTCACACACGACGCACACACACCCCCCCCCCGGCACACCCACACCCCA